ACTTTGGACATATTGTCAGGAGGGACCAGTCACTGGAGAAGGATATCATTGGTAAGGTGGAGGGTCAGAGAAAAAGAGAAAGACCCCCAACGAGATGGATTGGCCAAGTGGCAGCATCAGTGGACTCAAGCGTGGCATCAACAGTGAGGTTGGCTGAGGATCATGCAATGTTTCATTCTGCTGTGCATATGATCGCTATGGGTCGGTACCGAATCGATGGCACCTAACACAACAACCTAAAATGTGGGGATGATAAAGGCTCAAAGTGATTGTCCTACAAGTTTTCAACAGGGAGTTTAGTTTAAGAGTGTGGGGTAAGATATAATCCCCATCAAATTGTTTTCATCTTGTGTAGATGGGTCTGGTAAAAAGAGACAAGGGTAAGAGTCTTATGATTCAATAGTGAGTAATTGTTATCATGACTAATTGCAACTATCACAATTGTAAAGGTAGAAGTTTTGTAACAAAAAAAGCAGTTTATCTTACAGTCCAGAAATAGAGGACCCTTGGACCAACAATGGAGAAGAGAACAAGCAGAATGCGAAACCTTATCAGATACTGAAGCAGAGATGGGCCATGGAGAGAGGGAGCAGTTGAGGACTCTAGATTCATGCAAAGAGAGAGACTGAGAGCTTGCTGTCAGGAGGCTGACTTGCAGAATGTGCCCTTTGGTGGTGTAAATTATTATTCAAGCCTGAGTGTTTAAAAAAAAAAAAAAGAGCTAAAGTGAATAGAGAGAGAAATATTGACTGTTAACTGATGGTACATGGAGGGGATTATAATCACTGTAATGAAACAAAATACATAATTTGTTGAATGTAAAACTGATGATCTGCCCTGTAAACTTTCTCTCAATTCACAATTAAAACATAAAAAATTTATATTGTTGTATATGACCCTGGTGTGGCACTGTAGGATAAGCACTGGAGCACAAGGTCAGTTCAAACTCACCAGACACTCCTTGGAAACCCTTAACAGGGTCGCTATGCATCAAACCTATTTGACTGCTCTTAACAAAAACAACATGACCCTGTGTCTTCTCATGGCCTGCTCACTACAAATGCATCTTCAAAATCTGCCAACTATTCACTATCAAAAGGGCAACCTTTACCTGGGTACAAGGTTCTGAGGGGTTGGGAAGTAAGGTGGGATGGAAATAGGAACCACGGGGAGGAAGTGGGTAACTGTTTTTGCATGGAGGGGATTGCAAGCCTTCAGATGGAATGAAGTGTATCACTTGCAGAATGTAAAACTGATGATCTGCTCTGTAAACCTTCACTCAATTCACAATAAAAAGTTTCAAAAGAACAACAACAACAACATATTTGCAAAGAAGAAGTCATTTATCTTGCAAAATTCTATCATGTGATCCCCAGCATAATTTTTCCCACCAAGGCCATATTTCCAACCACTGATATTTTGTTTTGTTTCCAACCTTTGCATTGGAATCACCAGTATTTATCAATACATCTTGATTACATGTTTGATCAATTTCACACTGCAGTGGTTAACAGAAGTCTTCTATTCCATCATCACTGGCTTTAATGATTGGTGTGTAAATTTGAATAATAGTGGTTTTAACTGGCTTTCCTTGTTGTTGTTATGTACCATCACGTTGGTACCGAGTCATCGCGACCCTATGCACAACATAACGAAACAACGCCCAGTCTTGGGCCAACCTCATCATTGTTTCCATACTTGAGTTCATCAATGCTGCCACCTGGCCAATCCATCTCGTTGGGGGTCTTCCTCTTTTTCCCTGGCCCTCCACCTTACCAAATATGATATCCTTCTCCAGCGACTGGTCCTCCCTGACAATTAAGTCCAAAGTATGAAAGACGAAGTTTGGCCATCTTGGCCTCTAAGGAGCACTCTGGCTGCATTTCTTCCAACACGATCTGTTGGCAGCACATGGCACTTTCAATATTCTCCTCCAACACCATAACTCAAAAGCATCTTCCTTATTCACTGTCCAGCTTTCACATGCATATTAGGTTATTGAAAATACCATGGTTTGGGTCAGGCGCACCTTAGTCCTCAAGCTGACATCTTTGGTCTTCCTTGTAGGTGATGGATACTATCATATTACAGACAGCATTTATAGTTCAAGATAGATCTTGAATACTCTTTTTGATGATGAAAGTAATGTCATTTCTCTTCAATTTGTCATTCCTGGCACAGCAAACTATATGATTGTCAGATTCAAAATGGTCAATACCAGTCCATTTTAGCTCACTAATGCCTAGGATATTGATGTTTATGCATTCCAATTCATTTTGACCACCTTACAATTTTCCTAGATTCATACTTAGTACATTTCATGTTCTGACTATTAATGGATGTTTACAGCTGTTTCTCCTCATTTTGAGTTGTGCTCTATCAGCAAATGAAAGTCACAAAGTGTTTTACTCCATTCACATCATCATGGTCAACTCTACTTTGAGGAGGCAGCTCTTCCCTAGTCATATCTGAGTGTCTTTCAACAACCTGAGGGGCTCACCTTCTGGCACCATATCTGACAATATTCTGGTGCTATTTGTTATGTTTCAATATTCTTTATTCTGGTGCTATCTGACAGTACCAACCTCGGAGGTGGAAGCCAGTCAGACCACTTGAAATGGTAACAAGGGCAGAGCCCCAAGAGAAGTTCAGAGCAAAGAGGCAGAAGGACTTTGATATATTAGAGCAAAATGAATCCAGTGATGAGGAGAGCCAGAAAAAAGAGAGAGTTCGTACTGCTGAGGAGCCATGGATTCAGAATCAACAGAAACTTCTGGAATTAGCATTGTAGCAGTACCCAAAAGTATCTCTGACCGATGGGACAAAATAGCCAAATGTGTCCTGTGTAAGAGTAAGGAAAACTGTATCACTAGATACATGTTGCTGGTTGAACTGGCAAAAAAAAAAAAAAAAAAACAAGCTAAAAGCAGAGTATTCTGGAAGATGATTTTCACTGTCATTTTCCAAAATGAGTATTTTTTAAGTGTATGCAGAAATTCACATTTGTACTTCAGTATTTCTAGACGTCCATGTGCCTTAGAATAAATAAACAATGAATGTTGAGCTTAAAAAAATATATGCTATTCATAAGATTTTCAGTGACTAAATATTCGGAAGTAGTCTGTTTCTCCTTCTTCCTAGTCTGTCTTAGTCTGGAAACTCAGCTGACACCTGTCCACCATGGGTGTACATTGTTGTTATTTAAAATATCAGAGGCATAGCTTCCAGCATCACAGCAACACACAATCTACCACAGTATGACAAACTGACAGATGAATGCTGGGGGTTTCTTCTTAGGGTGATGAACAATTTTTTATAGTGATGGTTGCAAAGCTATGACTCCAATAAAACCCACTGAACTGTACACTTTAAACAAATTCCTTGTAAATCTCAGCAATGCTGTTGAATAAAAGGCCGATGTAGTCATTAAAATCATGTTTATCAAATTCAAGAATTTTTTCTTTTATAGAGAACACCTAGAGAATATGGAAAAAATGACTGAGCATAGATTAAAATAATAACGACTCAAGTCTGGAAAGATTTAAGTACATGGATTAAAATCTGAAGAGTCGAGCAGCATTTGTGTCTGAATCCAGTGATGTGTCCTTATCTTAGCTTTCATGATGGAAAGACTAAGTTGTTTTAGAGTAACAGAAGAAAATGAGAGCCAAATTACTAATTCAAGTCCAAAGACATTCTTTTTCCTGCACCAACTTGGCTTACCATAGGAGTTGTGGAGGGCAAGGAGGACAGTGGGTGAGAGAACCAAGTTGCTGGCAGTATTGTAATAGCGAAACAGGTACACATAGAGGGAGAGAGAAAACTTCAAGTTATCAATTAAGAATCCTCATGCAGGAACAGCCATTTTGGAGGAGTAATGATTCATGTTTTAAGATGTTAAAATTTTAAAGGAAAAATATACCTAGTTGTGTCAGGAAATTAGTATCCCACACTAGCAATTGCTTTGAATCTTGTTTCATCCTGTGCTCCTGAGTTCTTCAATTCTTCAGAATACCCTACTCATTGCTTTTTCCTTTTGAGTAACCTAGAAGTCCTGGTGTAGTGCTGAGCGTTAATGCACTGCACTGCAAAGTAGGCTTGAACCTCAAGGTTGGCGGTTAAAACTAACAAGATGCTCCTTGGAAACCCTATACAGGGTCATTGTGAGTAAGAACTGACTTAACAGCACTTAAAAATAACAACCCTAGGAGTCCTGGTGTGGCACTATGGGATAAACACTGGACCACAAGGTCAGTTTAGACCACAAGGTTGGCGGTTAAAACTCACCAGCAGCTCACTGGAAACCCTATACTGGGTCACTATGAGTCGGAACTGACTCATTGGCACTTAACAACAACAGACTTTCTCAATCTTCACATTTCTCACAGTTTTCTTAATAATGAATGGTACTGTTGTTGAATTGATATGATAATCATAACCCTAAAAATATTTTGATACATTTTTTTTCAATTTGCCATGACGTCAGAGGTTCAAACCCACCAGCCGCTCCTTGGAAACCCTATACAGGGTCGCTATGGGTCGGAACCGATTCAACGGCACTTACCAACAACAATACAGTATACAACGAGTTCTGGTAGTAGTGGCTACAAGCCTATAGCGACCCTGTGTAGGGTTTCTGAGGCGCAACCCGTGAGCTTGAACTTTTCAGTCGGGCGCATTAATCCACAGCGCCACACAACGACTCCAACCCAAGATTAGGAGTTCGAAACTACCAGCAGTTCAGGAGGAGAAAGATGAGGCTTTTTGCTCCCTTAAAGATTTATGCTGGGTCACTATGAGTCAGAACTGACTCCACAGCACCCCCCACCCCCCAAATACAGTATACAGGAGTCCCGTTGTGGTGGTTCAAGTTCACTAGCCGCTCCTAAGAAACCCTACACAGGGTCACTATGAGTTCGGCACTTTACAACAGCAAACAACAATACAAGTATATATTTGTTATTTATTCTTCTAGGAAGAGTGAGTTTATTTTATATTTATGATTGCTGTAAATTTTTGAAAATTTTCCCAATATAGTACACGATGTATATGCATAATTACATAAACTCGGTTATCTTCACATACCAACTCCACAGAACTTAACAATAACCACCATGGCATCTAATAACAACAACAAAAGGTGGATTCCTGGTAGGGGGCTGTAAGATATGCACTGGATTGCTAACCACAAAGTAGGCGGTTCAAACCCACCAACTGCTTCTGAAACCTTATACAGGGTCTATACGTAACAATAACAACCCTTTTGGGCAGTTTTACTCTGGCACATGGCCACATCAACTCCACGACACATGACAACCACTACAGTAACACCTTTAAAAAGACTAAGTCCAACAGTTACTAGACCCGAAGATACCAGCTGCGGAATCCGCGCGCGACGCGGAAACTGGAATCACCGGGAAACTGGAGCCTAAAGCCTTTGCGCTTGCGCACCCATTGGGACCTTTTCCGGCTCCGCTTTCAAAGCGCACGTCCTGGTGGTCCCCAGAACCTGGCCCTTGGTTCAGAACCTGGGTCCAGAACCTGTGTTTTACGCCACCTGTGACCCGTCAGCGGCGTAGCTACCGCTCAGCGCCTGCGCACACTGCGACGTCGGTCACCATGACAGCGGCCGCTGGGAGTCCGGGTAAGCTCTAGTCCCGCGTGACCTCGCGGCCCGTGATCTTGCTCCGCGCGCGAGCGTCCGGAGCACAGCTTCGCTCTGTCTCTGGCCTGCTGCCCCCAAGTAGGGACGCTTGGAGAGCTTCCTGTTTCAGTACTCACCTAGCGGCGTTCCTGGGAGCTGAGCGGCTTTAAGCCGCTGAAGATGGACCCGGGTTCTCCAAGCGTGGTGCGCGCCTTCCGTGGACCGGGCGAGAACCTTGATTTTCGGGGTGGGCTTTAAGGGGAAAGCATTTGGGAAGGCGAAGAATGGCCGGAATATTGCTTTTAGAGGTCTTGGTGAATAAAAGAAAAGTAGGAGTCCTGGTGTGGTCCTGTGGGCTAATGCGTCAGACTGCAAAGTCCTTTGGACTGCAAGATCGGTAGTTTAAACTCACCAGCTGCTCCTTGGAAACCCTATACAGGGTCGCTATGGATCGGAATCAACTCGACGACACTTAATAACAAGCGTATGGTTATGAGTTGGGATGCTAACCTCAAGATCAGCAGTTTGAAACTACCAGTGGTTCAACCAGCGGGAGAACGATGAGGCTTTCGGATCCCATAAAGATTTACAGCCTCAGAATTGAATGGCCAGTCCATTTGGTAACTGGGCAGGGGTGGGAAATGCAGAAAAAGGAATGTGTTGTTAAAGTGCCCTGGAATAGGTTCTGATTCATAGCGACCTTGGATAGGGTTTCCGAAGAATGGCTGGTGAACTTGAACCGCTGACCTTGCCATTTAAACCGATCTTGCAGCATAGCGCGTTAACCCGCGGCGCCACACCAGGAATAAAGCCGGGCTTTATTCCAGCTTCTCATTGCACAACCTTTGGAAACTGGTAATAAGTGTGTCTCTGTTGTCTGACCCCGGGAATCAGAGGCCTTTTAAGCCGAGCCTGTACTGTTCTACGGAATCCTTGTATGGCGCTGTGGCCTAATGCATAAGACTGCAAAGTCATTTGAACTGTAAGGTCAGCGGTTCAAGCTCACCAGCTGCTCCTTGGAAACCCTATACAGGGTCAGTATGGGTCGGAATTGACTCGACGGCACTTAACAACAACAATACTGCAGAAGATTAGACTCATACATAAACATAAGTAGCTTTGGTGATTCTTTTTATCTAAGTTTGAAATTATCCTTGATTGTAAACATAACATTATGGAATGTTAATAAAGTTTATTGATTCAGGAAAAAAATTCCTCAGACTGCCAGTGTTCAGAGTCAGTACAAGTTAACTTTTTGGTATATTTCTAACGATCCTGACTATTCAGAAAATATAGTTAAGATTATAATAAACATACTTTTTTTTTTTCCAATCCTGCATCTTCTCATACTATTCCATGTCACAAACGGCTTTTATAAACATCCTTTAGTGATTGAATTGTATTTCATCATACAGATATATACTATAATTAACTCAGTTTCCCAATCTTAGATATTTATCAGTTGTTTCTTATTAGTTATTAAAACTAATGCTCTAATAAACACCTTTGCAATGTTTTTCCTCATTTCTTCCTTTTCCCTTCCTTCTGGGCTGGATTCCTGTAGCAGGAATTTCTGGGTCATTTCTAAGTGCTAAATCTTCACTTAGCATTCTATTTTGACCAGTGTTTTCATTTTTTAGACCTAGGGCTCTTCTTACATCTCAGTATAAATTCATTTAATGTTTCGTTTCTCTTTAATAATAATAATAAAACTGAATCTGGGACAAAGCTCATCTCAAAATTTTTCTACGTACTCATTACCAGGCTGCATAACTTCTCGTCTGAATTAATGAAGAATTTACAACATTTGACTAAAATGTGTGCTTAGAAGAAAAATGTTCCAGATCATTTCTATTCTCATTCCCATGTTATTGATGAGGTTAAATTTTTTTAAAGTTTTTATTGTGAATTATGTGATAGTTTATGTGGGAGAACATTCGCTTTACATTCATCCTATCGTATTTCGTTTCATTGCAATGATTACAGTTCCCTGCATACATCATCACACAGCCAAAGGGTACACCCTGCATGCCTGCCTGCTGGCCGTCAACACACAGCCCCTATCCCTCCCAGAGTCCAGAGTCCCCAGCCGCTCCATCTCTTCACAGCATCGTGTCTACTTCCATCTCTGGCATCACTGCTTTTCTGCATAGTGTCCCTGACTCCGCTCTTCTCCTTGATAGTCCCAGGGTCCTCTGCTCCTGGACTGCAAGATCAGCCACTCCCCTCTTTTTATTACAAAATGTCTACCTTTACATTTGCAACACTCACAATCAGTCCTGATAGCAACAATTCACTACTGAACAAGAGTCTTATCCCCATCTTTCACCAGCCCTGTCCACAGGTTGGAAACCACTCAGTAAAGAGTCTACCTTCCCCCATGCCCTCTGAAATTAGGCTCCCTCTTGAAAGCTTGTAAGCCAGTCATTTCTTGTCACTGTAGTGCCACCCCTCCCCTCCCCCCCGCCTTTTGGGTAGCCAATGTCTAAGTTGCTAATACCTGTCAACCCTATGTACCGAGGGGCTGGGAATGATCCTCGCTGTAAATATTTGTTCCCTCTTGAGCTACTACATCCACAAGCACATTACTCTTTTTTCCCTCTTCTTTCTTCTTCTAGTCAAGTTTTGATCATGCAGCCATTGAAGCCAGGTCAAGTGGGTATTATCTGCAAGTGTGGGTGTTCTTGTGCATATGCCCTCTCTTCTTATCAGCTGGACGCCTCACTCTCCACTTTAGTCCTCTGTGGCTGTGTCATTGACTCTGGGCCCACGAGTCCCCAGGTGTTACCACACTGCAGGCCGACCAGGTCTTCACCCTGGTTCACAGAAGTCTATTGAACATTGTAGGGCTTAGCTTGAAGCTTCATTGCTGTTTTTCCCTCACTTCTCCTTATTGGTGACCAACGTGCTTAGCAGCAAGACCACATGACTGCTCCTGTATTCCACTTGACTCTTAGTCTTGGAAGGGGATTTGTCCCTAAGGGGACCTGACCATTTGCCATAATGGCTCCCTGATGAACGACTTGCTTGTTCTTGTAGTAGTCATTCAGACTGCCATTATTGTTTTTTATTTTTTCCTGCTGGTCTTTCTTTTTTTTTTTTTTATTAAATGTTTTCATTTTGGATTGAGTGAAAGTTTACAGGGCACATCATCAGCTTCACATTCAACCATTCATATAGCTTATTTCATTACATTGATTATTATCCCCTCCATATATCATCAGTTAACAGTGCCTCTTTAGCTTTTTTTTTTCTGGCGGGGGGAACTTGCCTTTTTGGAATTTACAGTCTCGGCTTTTAGGGAAGGTTTTTACATTTGTCTGTGGATATCCAGGGCTCATGTATGAGATTACTAACAAGCCTTACTGAATAATCAGATGAGGGACAGTTTGCTATGTCTACTAGGTGGCTAGAGTCTGATCCTCAGAGCCTATGGTTTGGACTGTCATCAATGCTTGGGCCCACAGGGTCTTGACCTCCTGACCGGGTCTGCACAGTCTGCATCAGAATCCCCCTTATTTATTGTTTGTTTAAGGGATGCTGCCTGTCTTAGGCGGTCAGTGCGAATTCCTCCTGCTGGTCTTTGTTTCAAGAAGTATCTTCTGTTTCTTCTAGCCATTCCAGGCTGGTCTGCTTGTCCTTTCAGTGGAAATTTCCCATCTCAAAAGGTTCTGGATTAGGATCAGAATTCCACCTATGGTCTTAATCAATGCAAAGGCTCCGCAGGAAGCCTCCTTCACTGGGCAAGTTCTAGCCCCATTTTAGGTATTCCAGTCAGTTATAGGCTGAAGATGAACTTACAAAGTTTCTATGGTGATGTTTCTGGCTATTCCTTTCTCTCCCCCTTAAGAATCTGTTTTACAGTACTAGAAAAGGGAAACCAAGATTCAAAAGACAGCCAAGCATCTTAACATTATTTCCCCTCTTTTACCCATTCAAACCATGCCTTAATCCCTGTATCCCAGAGCCCTGTTGTTCCAAGGTTGTGCATATATCATTATTTACCTCTGCCCCATTTAGCCCATACAAACCTGCCTAATTGTTCGCTCATCTGCCTTGTTCTTCCATTCCCCCCGGCTTCTAGTGTATTGCCCAGCCGTAGCACCCACACTATTCTGTGTCTCTTCCCTACCCTGTGCTCCACCTTTCCCTCCCTCCCCTCATGCCACCCAATACACCCCGATAACCAGCAAATAATTTTTCCCTCTGTCAGTGTGAGTACTTTTTCTTAATCTTTTATAATAATGGTCCTATGTAGTATTTCTCCTTTTGTGACTAATTTCACTCAGTATAATGTCCTCAAGGTTCATCCATGTTATGCGGTGGCATGCAGCATCCTTGTTATTCTTCAAGGTAGCATAATATTCTATTGTGTGTATGTACCAAAGTTTGTTTATCCATTCTTCAGTTGATGGGGACTCAGCTGCCTCCATCTTTTTGCTATTGTAAATAGTGCTGCTATGAACATTGGTGTGCACATATCTACTCGTGTTATGGCTTGTATTTTGTGTGGGTAAATACCAAGTAGAGGAATTGCTGGATCATAAGGTATCTCTATTTCCAACCTTCTGAAGAAGTGCCATTGATGAGGTTAATTCTTAACCAGATTATTCCATCATATATGCTATTTTCTTATCCTGAACTTTAAAAAAAAAATACAGTTAAAAAATAATAATAATAAAGTCAACCTTCAGGTTGCTACCATTCAACTGTGAATTGAAAATATTCTGAAAGTAAATTAGCAATTATGTGGTTAAAGCAATTTCTCAGAGGCTAAGAGGGATGTGGGTATTGTTTAAGTGCCCTCAAGTTGGGTTCCACTCATTGCGACCCTGCATAGGGTTTCCAAGGAGCAGCTGGTGAGTTTGAATCACCGACCAATAGCCCACACTTGTTTCTCTGTTGCTCAGGGGAATGGAGATCAATTGTATGCATTAGGAAATGTACTAAATATGTTACTAGAAAAATTCATTAGGATGTTTCTTGAAACCACGAACCTA